ATCACTGAACTGGAAGCAGCTGATGCAGGAACATACTACTGTGGTTCAGACTCTCAGCTGAGATTCATAAAGATACAGCTGGTAGTCGGTGAGACCAGCACAGAGAGAGATAAAACAAATAAAAAACAGAAAAATCATGTTATAGTTTTTTCACCACATTATGTTCTGTATTTTCTCTGACAGTCTCTCTGAATCAAACCAGCTCTGCTGAACAGGTTACATCACGGCCACCATCACATAAACCTGGTAAAATCTTTACATTTTCTGTTTCTGTGCTTCTCCTGATTTTCCTTCACTTATTTTTCCACAAACAGCAAATATTCAAATACTCAAATACACGAATGGAGAATTAGAGAATGTCGTTTTGTTCACACAGCTTTTCCTGCCTTCACTCCACAGTCAAATGGTAATGCTGCAGATGTCCACTGTCTTCCAAACCATAAGTGGTCAGCCCAATTTATATGTTAGAAAGTCAACAGAATGCGACTCTCACATGTTATCTGAGATACAACAGGAGAAATCTTGCATCTTGCAGGCACATCGAGTGTGGTTTCTCCCTCTGGAGAAGTATTTTATAAACAGGAAAGGACTGTAGGCAGCTAGTTTGGCATTCTGGTGTTGGGATCCAGAGGTAATAGGGAGGCACTTGGCTTGGGGCCGAAGCAATCTGGTGGAGACCCAACTTCCTTACTATTTTTAATATTGAAATTAAGTCAGCCATAACTTAATGAACAGAGAACAGAAGAGCCGAGAAAGAGGAACATTTCGGAAACTGCAATGTTGGAAAAAAATTTCCTGTTGCTTTGAAATTTGCCACATACTTAAACACAGTATTTGCAGCCTAATTATACAACCTGTATGAATTCAGTATTTCTATTCCAGCAGTCTTCTCAGTCAGAAGTCCTCATCCGTTCTCCAAGTTCCTCAGATGGCTGTTTCTCATCTGAAATGACAGTGACCATGTTATGGTGCATTCACACCAAATGCGTTACACACGTCAAGAATGGCGCCCAATGCTTCAAGTTCAACACCTGTGTACTTTGAATCTAGACGGTTGGCATTTTGCTCTTCACCAAATGCATTTCACACATCAGGTGCGTCTGGTTTATATTCTATGTGAACATCGATGGCGCTCAGATGTGTCAAAGTCGCTCTAGCAGTTGTTTTCCGGAAGCGTTAAAGCGATGGACGCTGTTGACGTGTCAAGCACTCAAAATCGGTTCAAATCGCGCCGCGACGGGCCCTCAATTTGCCTCCACATAGACTTTGATTGTAAACCAGACGCGGCTGATGCTCAAAACGAGTTTGGTGTGAATGCACCATTAGTTGACAGGTTTTTCAAAAATGATGTCTGAATGTTTAGTGTTGTTTCTTCTGCAGGGCTGAGGCAAGTGATACAAGTAATATGAGTGTGGGGTCGGTCGGTCCCCATTCATATGCACAAGGGTTAAATTATTATTACCCACTTTCATTGTCTGTGTCTGTTTCCAAGACATTTTCTGTCCATGCCTATTAAATTCTCCTTTCTCTCCTTTTCAGACTTGACTTTATTTTACATTCTGCGTGTCGTCCTGTTTCTGCTGTGGTCTCTGCTTTTTGTCCTTCTGATGATTCCTACAAAGAAATTAAAGCAACAAAGTGAATTTACCCAGAACATCAACACACCACAATGAAGAACAAGAAAAAAAATCCCAGACCAAACAGAATGTTTTTGTTGTTCTTGGAGATATCCAGATGAATGTGCTGAACACTGCTGATACTACTGAGAACCCGAGGATCAATGATGTAAGTCCACAAAGCTGCAACTCTTAAAGATTTCTTCTTGTGAGGACATTAGTTCAGTTTCCATTGACTGTAAAATAAATTTTCTTAATGGAAACACAACAATTAAAAAAAAAAAAACTTATGGTTTTCAATAAAAATGGAATGGATGTTTAAGGAAATCATTTTTTCCCATCACACAAGTCAGATGATACACAGCCGGATGTTACTGCTGGTGAAAACGTCAAAGAAGACGGCAGGAAGTAGTAGAAGGATGGTGGTTTGTTTTGTTTGTTTATTTCGGACGGTGTGCAGCAGCTCCACCAGAGCTCTTGCAGCGTCACACCATTCATAAATAGTTGTGTGTAATTCAAACATGTGAAACCCGCAGCTCTTCTGTATAATCCCCGACTGCAATTTACCCAAATCGACACACACATAGCCACTTCAAGTATGATGGGCTTATTGCTCCAAAACCTGAAGAAGACGCCGACATCACCTCTGATGGCTGATAGATGATGAGTGCTGGCGCCAAGACTGAATTATAAATATATTTCAATGTAACTGTTTAGTCAAGCTTATTCACACGTGAATCTAATTATTTCTTTAATGGAAATACCGAGATTGCAAAATTGTGTGTGTGTGTGTGTGTGTGTGTGTGTGCGTGTGTGTGTGTGTGTGTGTGTGTGTGTGTGTGTGTGTGTGTGTGTGTGTGTGTGTTTTTCCAACATTAGCAGAATATCGACAAAGATTTGTGCACATTTGTATTGGAAACACAACTAGTGGCTGTGTTGGTGGATTTTGCCCTCAGTGAAGGCGGACACTTGTTTTCCTCTGCTCCCTCCCTGCCCATGCCTGCCCTGCTTGGTCTGTTTTTTTCTATATTTTTGGAGCCTTTCTTCACACATCCTCCGACCTCTCAATGCAATTGATCAAATTTTCTCGACTGGGCACAGGAGAGCCCTCTTGTCCTGCAGGGACACACCCGGCAGGATTCACCGTGGATTTATTCAGGATAACAGGATTTCTGCTGTTTGGAGCTTGCAGATTCCTGGCTTATCGACAAATTTGTGATGGACTTGTCCGAACTAGCGAACACTTAGACTGTTGGTGTGGACAGAGACGCAAGTTGGATGTGAGTCTTCCTGAGACTCGCTGCCCAGCTGAGGACTCCAAGACTCACTAACAAGATGGAATTGATCTTGGAGAAGTTGCTAGTTTCGGTTCAGTGTAACGGCCAAACTAATTTGGATGATTGGGAAGTGAGATGTACCGGAGAGACTTTAGGGGAGATTGAAACTTATAATCTATCTGAATAGGCTTTCCCCATGTGGCTTTGGAAGAGCTGCATATTTCCAATCTCCTTGAAGATGTATAAACATAACACTCCTTCCCACCTCACCCTCTTTTGTCATCTTTGCAGCTGTGGAGCTGAGCGCTCCCAAGGACATTCCTCAATAAACAACACCTTTATCGGACTTCTGCCGGGAGGCTGAGCAACGGTTTCAAGACCCTGTGACATCACCGCCTTCACTCATGTCTTTGTTTTGCCCTTTGTTTTGTCTGAATGTTGCCATTTGCCCTAATGTGTCCTTTCCTCTTTTTTATTTTATTGTGTTAGAAACTGTGGAGTACTCACTTTTAACCCAGAAAAGGAATTAGAACAAACTTGGAATCCAGAGACTCAGTTTATGAGTCATTCTTTTACTAGTTTATCTATTAGAAACTGTGGAGTACTACCCAGAAAAAGATTATTTTAGTTTATTAGTAATATCAGAAATTGTGGAGTACGCAAGATTTAGATCAACATTATACTTCCTAGATAACTTTTAACTTTTATGCAGAGAGACTCGTACTGCTACAGCCCAGAAAAGGAATTAGAATAAGAATTACAACAAACTTAGAATCCAGAAATACAGGAACAGTCACTACTTAGTTACTTTTTATACTACTACTTGTTAGAAACTGACTACTCACTTTAAACCCAGAAAATGAATTAGATTAGTCACTCTTTAGCTTAGTTTTTCAGAAACTGTAGAGTACTCACTATATCTTGATGCAAAGACACTTTTGGATTGAGACTACTTTTCAGACTCCTGTTCTTCCAACCCAGAAATCGAATTAGACCAAAGTATACTTAGCAACCCTGAACAGGAGCACTTAGTTTACATACTTTAGATCAACATTAGATTATTTTTCTCTTTTATTTGCTTTCCTTTTGTTTGTTATTTTGTATTTCCTTTTAATTCCTGTAAAGCAGTTTGTATTGCCTTGTTGCTGAAAATGTGCTATATAAATAAAATTACCTTTCCTTTTACTATCGTAGATAGATTATATATAGAGTCTCAAAGATAGAAGTGAGAAAAAGTGATGACAAATTGATCCAAAACGCTTCCTGTTGCTTATTTCTATGTTCATAAAAGGGGAGTTTTCTGTTTCTTTTCAGTTTCTGGCATGTCTCTGTTACATCTCAAAAATGGGTCAGCAAAATGTTAACAGGTGGATTTGAGAAGTTTGAATGCAAATGCAAACAAACAAAAAAATCTTGCCAATCTGTCAGGATTCAGTACACACAGTGGCGTGATGTGGGGTTTCAGTCAGGGCCTTCGATAAACTTCAGTAAACTATACCTGAACACATACGTTTTGCAGGACAATGTAAAAACTATTCATCACATCAAGCCAGAGGCATCCAATAATATGCAAATAATTAAAAATACGCCAAGTAAAGCAACAATGCAGCCCAACAAAATCAAGCAATTTATCAATGTATTTTAACAAAATACACAGGCAACAGCGACATAACTGAACAGCCAGAAATTTAGCAAAACTTTTCTATGTTTCCTAGTTAAGCTCAACATCAATCCAAACTGCTCAAACAGCAAATGAGCAATTAAAAGAAAAAAATATTAAGTATGTATGAGAATGTAATAGAAAAGTAACACTCACCCATTACTTGTAAATAAAATCCATCCAATAACATGTTGTGCTCAGTGATTTGTGAAAATCCAGAAGACAGCTCAACCTTCAGAGCATCAGGAGCAACAATGAAGCAGCTGATTCTCAACATGTGAACCAAAGTCTCACCACAAATGAAGATCTTTGTTCTGATTGTTTGAAAGAAAATAATGAAATGCACTGCAAAGGAAATTATTATAAACATTTCAAACTAATTGTGACGGAGAAGCTGTCATGATCCAGGACTTAATTATCAGTCCGTGTCAACATGCGAGCACGCCCGCACACACATACACACAAACATGCACAATCGCTAACTTACTTCTGTTGCAGCTTAAACTGACGCGGTTCATCGTGGGTGCACACGCGGTGTTCCTGCTTCAGTCAGCATATCCATCCTAACCTGTTTTCAGTTCCAAACATTTTCCCGCTTCTGTTTTCAAGCAGGGTTATCTCCGGATTGTGACGCACCAGGAGGGAGTCAGGTGATGGCGTAATGATGTCATCAGAACGTACTGAGTGTTTTCTATTAAATTGAGTATTGTATTTTTGATTACAAGTTATTTTTTTTCTCTTTATTATTATTATTATTATTATTATTATTATTATTATTATTATTATGTAGCCTTTAAGAGTTTACTTGCGTTAGAAGTAATTGTTTAATTGTTTTTGGTTGCTTGTTTGGTCAGAAAGACCAAACAAGCAACCAAATTGTTTGTCTGTGGCTTTAAAAGCAGGGCTCTGCGCCACAGGAAGTCAGTCTGTGGCTAGACTCCTGAGAAGTCACAGTGAAGGTGACAGACTCTTGCATTGAAGGTACTGCTGTTTGACTGTTTTTAACCTGCCTTGGACGTCCTTGTGTATATTCTGCACCTGCCATTTTTTATTTTTTTTTATTTTTTTTCCACCTCAAGAAAAACTAAATTTCACTAAAGTGATCTCTGCCCTTGGGCAGTCATTTTGTCTGTCCAACTCATAAGAGAACCCCATCACACCAATTTTAAGATTCCATGCTAATTGTTAAATGTTTTAATTAGGTAACTTGTTTTATTACATTAACTTTCACCACACCATAATAAATAAGAGGTTTTTATTAAACCAGCCTTTGTTTCTTTTTAAATTAAGACTAAATCATGACGGTGATCAGGCTTTCTGTAGAGGAAAACAATTTTTATATCTGCAGTATTTTCATCTTGTTACATTGTTCTGGTAATATTTTTATATTTCTATTTGTCATTTGTCAGTTTGACTATTAAAATTTTTAATTTTACCTTCAATTTGTGACAACTTATTTCTTTATGCTCATTTTATTAACTGGATTCTATTACTATAAGCAGCTTTTGCAGAAAGAAAACCTAGAGAACATCGATGAATGTTCTAAACGAAATAAGCAAACTATAGACAGAAAGTTCTGCTTTGTTGATTAAACAGGAAATATGTTTGATGCGATGATGCAGCGCTAACCACTACACCTCAGCCCACCCATATTTCCTATGACCATTTCCTCCAACTTTGTAAATACTTATTTTTTATTTTACCAATTATAAGCATGTCTTACTATTTTGGTCATTTTGACAGAGCTCAGTTTTATAATTTGAAAAATAGAGAGATACATCATTTCACACCTCATTTATGAGGCTTGTTTTGTGCAGAGGGCTGAACTCATTGGACTAATGTGGTTTCCTTAAAACACTTCTTGCTTCACTTCAACATTATTTCTGGTTTAGTTTGTCGTCCTCAGTAATGCAAAGATGTGGAGCTTCCAGGTCGTGTTGTTCATCTTGTCTGGTAAGTTTTTACATTCATTCAAATATGAATCTAACAGTTTCCTGTGGTTTTAAAAAGCAGGGGTAGATTTTGTCATCTTAACATTATAAAAATTTAGAATAAAATAAAAAACAAGATCGCACCCTCTGCAGTAGCTGGCATAACACTTTTGTTTTTCTATTTGTTTTTAAAGAAATACATTTAATAAACTGCCTATTTTTCTTTTATGGCTATGGCATTTTCTATTTATATATTTACTGTTTGCTGAGGAGTGGGACTAAAAATTTAATTCTATTTCTGTGAAAATGACAATTAGAATTAAAGTTAATTGCATTGAATTATGTTTTTGTTCTCTCCTGTTTCCAGCTGCTGTGTGCTGTGTGAGTCGTGCTGCAGGTTTGATCCATGTGTTTGGATAC